GTTTTACTCCCTAAACCAGGTCTTCCAGTTTCACCTCTGCATAAGCACAGCAAGAGTGTTAGAATATACTGGGCATTTGTAGCCAAAGGATATATTTTTCAGCTGCAGCCACGAGTGCTACTGGGTTAGGTACATATGGGCTGCTTATTTTAGCAGCAGCTTGTCTGTGCTGGCAGGATTTTTTTCCCAGCTCCTCTGCAGTTGAGAGAAAAATCCTTTGGAAAAAAAAAATCCTCTGGAAATTGTTTACACAGAGGGTGGTGAGGTGCTGGAGCAGCTGCCCAGAGAGGCTGTGATGCCCCGTCCATCCCTGGAGGTGTTCAAGGCCATTGGGTGGGGGCATGGGCAGCCTGGGCTGCTATGAAATGTGGAGGTTGGTGGCCCTGCCTGTGGCAGGGGGTTGGAGATTTGTGATCCTTGAGTTGGAATGCCCCTTCCAACCCGGGGCACTCTGTGATTCTATGATCCTGAACTGCAGGATGTGGGAAATCAAATCCATCGATGTTTTATAGTTAACTTCTACTGTGCATTTTTGATGTACTGTTCCTGGAGGTGCTGATGTAGCCTGCTAGTAATAAAGATACATTGGGCATTGCTGGAGTGGCACGTTAGCTGAACTCCTCGTCAAAACTGAGCTCCGCATCGGGGCTGTATGCGGTGTGACAGAAATCGTTCTGTTCCTCTTCAACCCGGGCGGCGGTTTGCGCTGTGTTCGCTCAGCTTTCGGGCGCTGCCGGCAGCTGACGGAGGGGGAGCGGCGGTGAGGCCGTGCGATGCCAGAGGCTGAAGCTCTGTCCGTCTGCTTTACGCTTTCGCTGAGAACGAGGTTTCTGCGCGGTTCCCACACGCAGAGGCAAGCTGACACCGCTCCGCTCGGTACGGAGACGCGCGTCCGTGGAGGCGGAGCGCCCTCCGCCCGGGGGCGGCGCTGCGGGGCGGGGCGGCGGCCATGGCGGAGCGGCGCAGCGCAGCAGCCGAGGGTTTGGGCCGCATCTCCGAGTGGGCGGACGCGCACCTCAGCCTCGTGCGGGTAACAGGGCGGTGGGGCCGGAAGCTGGGAGCGGTGCCGGTGCCGGTGCGGCCCGGAGTGGCTGAACGTCGTTTCTATCTCATCTCCCCGCAGAGTCTCAGTGCCGGCGTGGCGGTGGCCGGGCTGCTGGTGTTGGCCAGGAGCGTGCGCCTGGTGAGTGCGGCGGGGCGGGGCTGCGGAGCGCCGGGACCCCCGTTCCCCCACTTGCCCCCAGCCCCGCAACGACGCCGGGCTCCCCAGGGCCGCCCCCAGCTCCGCTGCGCTGCGCAGAGCCCCGTGCCGCTGCTCCTGCCGGAATGGCGCCCCCTGCCGGCACCGCCCGCCCTGCGCTGCTGCGGCGCTCGGGGCCATTTTCCCCGTCCCCCCCCCCCGGCTCCGGTGCGTCGTGACCCGGCTCGCGTTCCGGCTGGCGAGGCCGGTGCTTGCTCTTCTATTCCCTATCACCTTATTTCTGGATTTTATTTTTTTAATTATGGTCTTGTTTTTCCCGATTCCTCCTCTCCAGCTCCATCTCCCCGTTGCACAGCTGTGTGTGTGGCCCAGGGACCAAGTCCTCTCATGTTTGTGCTTCAGTTGATGTAGAGTTGGTTCCTCGTGTCTTTTTCCACACCTCTACAAGCAGAACGACGTTTCTAACAGTTCTCAGCATAAACCTGAATCTTCCCATACTGACCAGGCTGGTGGGGTTTTTTCAGAGCTGTTAAGACCAGATTTGAACCACTTCTGCACTTTAGACTTTAGGTCCTAACAGTCTGTGTCACCACTGAGAGACCTCGTCCCACGGAGGTGGTTTGGGGGAGCAGCTCAGGGCAGTCACTGCAGGGCGGTGGAGCTCTGCAGAAGCAGCTCAGTTTATAGAACCCTAGAATGGCCTGGGTTGCAAAGGAGCACAGTGCTCATCCAGTTCCAACCCCCTGCTGTGTGCAGGTCACCAACCAGCAGCCCAGGCTGCCCAGAGCCACATCCAGCCTGGCCTTGAATGCCTGCAGGGATGGGGCATCCACAGCCTCCTTAGGCAACCTGTTCCAGTGCCTCACCAGTTCTTCCCATTGGTGTGTCGATGATGTGTGTCAGTCCTCTGCAAAGGATTTCCTGCAGTGAGAGCTCTGCAAGTTAATTAAGATTCTTCATTCTGAGCTCTGTGCCATCCCAGTGCATCTTTTCCCTCTGTCCTCTCACAGAGCAGCAGCTTTGTTCCTGTACTGCAGCTTTGTTAAGCTTTGTTTCCTTGTGTGATCATATAACTCTCCTTTGAATCCTGTTGTGAACAGAATGTAGTATCGAATTCACTCATCTTGTGATCTCTGCATGGGTGCACACCTGCTTTTGTCCCTCTCCTATTTACTCCCTTATCAAAGGCTGTGTTGTTCCCTCTGTCCTCCACTCTGCCTTTGTTGTTGCTGTGTCTGTTCTTTGCTGGTGTCTTCAAACACTTTTTTGCTTCCTCTCCCCCATTCTAGCACCATCCGGACCATTTCTAACCCTTCTTTTCTTGATGAATCAAGTTGGCTTCAACCCGTATTGCTCAAACCCATCTGTTTCTGTTTTTCTCTAAGCTTTCGTGCCCTTGCCTCGTGCTGCATGCCCTGCAGAATGGGGAGCATTCCTGAGTGTGAAGGCTGCTGTGTGTCTGCAGCTCATTGCTGTCTAACAAAAAGCAGTTCCTCGTGCTGTTTAACAGCATGGCTGTGATTCACCAGATATTTGTAGAAGTTGGATTCGACTGTAACTGCTCTGTGACTGTCCTTTTTTTAACACTTGTTCTTCTTCCTATCAACAGACAACAAAGTTTACAAATGCTTTGGATATACCTGCAGGGTTTATAGAAAAGAATGTGAAATTGCGAGGAAAAGTGCATCGTGTCACTGAGAAGGGTCTGGAAGTGGAGCACATCCCCATCAGCGTTCCTTTCATTACCTCAGTACAGAGAAAGTGTGAGTAAAAGTACGTGGAGAGAAATGCAGTGCACGCAGAAATAGGTCAGGAGTTTTTAAATCCTATTCTTGGAAACAGGTGGGTGTGAATCGATGGGATGCGAGGTGCTGTGTCTGTACAGAGATCGGTGCTGGGACAGAGGTGAAGTTGCGGTCTGGCTTTGCCCTTTGGTCTTCCCCTACTGTACTGAGGAATGGGAAGGAGCGAGGAGAGCTCTGTAGGAAGAGCTTGCTGACACTTTAATAGCAGTAGCAGCACTGCCATGTATTTCTGGCAGCAAAACTCAAGTGTCTGGGTGGTTCATTTGTTTGCATGGCTCCTCTCATTCCAAGGGGGAAAAAAACCCTAGAACTGATTTGTTTGTTATAATGTCTGTGGGAATAGACTCATTAACAACAGCTGAGGCCGTGTGCAAAGCGTGACAGCTAACTTGTCTGCTGTGTTTGGTAAAGGAGTGCTGTGTCTGTGCGCAGGGCAGCGCGAGGGGCTCTTGCTGGTGAGACTGGCCGGCGTGGAGCTGACCCCCGAGGGCACGGCGTGGCTTCAGAGGGAGCTGAAACCCCTACAAGTGATCTGGTTCCAGCTTCTCGGGAGGGAGCACTTGGCACTCGAGTGCCTTGTTTTAGTAAATAAGGTAAATGCAGTGGTAAGAATGACTTAAAACTGTGGGGTTTGGCTGCGATCGGGCAGTTATCTCAGTACATCAGAATGTTATCGATGCCATTTCATAGAATCATGGAATGGCCTGGGTTGAAAAGGACCACCATGCTCATCTAGTTTCAACCTCCCTGCCACAGGCAGGGTCACCAACCACCAGACCGTGCTGCTTAGAGCCACATCCAGCCTGGATTTATATTTACATGACTCTTAAGTAATGTATTTTTAAATCAGATTCTGAGATGAGTGTATCTGTGGACCAACCTGGCTGCACCGGGCAGTTCTGGTGGGCTTAATGTTCAAGCCGTGCAATGCCTTCTTACAGCTCTCTTGCACAAGTACCATTTTAAAAGTCAGCTGAATTTCGCTCAACTCAGCTAAATGTGTTAAAAAGTGAAAAAGCTTTGAAAGTTAAAAGTTTCTCTCTGCATGAGCAGATTCAATGAGAAGTACAGCCTGTACCTCCGAGGCAGCACACACATCTGCATGCATGCTCTCTGTAAGGGATAAGGGGATGTGACATTCCCCACACTGTTCTGCAGGGCCGATTTTTCAGCGTGTGCTTAAATGAAGAGGTCCTGAGAGAAGGGCTTGGAAGAGCTGCGAGCATAGAAGGACTGCAGCACGATTCTCACCTGTTCTGGGAGCTGCACAAAAGACTTCTCCGAGCGGAGCTGAAAGCCTTGAGGAAAAATAAGGGGATATGGAAAGAAGAAAGCTTCTCTGAAAGAATTAGAGGTCATATAAGCAACAGTAAACTCATGTGGACATTGAAACGTTTTGCGAGCTGGTTGAGAAACTAAGTTTAAGGATGGGATGGGAGGCTGGACTGGAAGCAGGGCAGTTACGTGTTACATGCTTGTGTAAAGTGTAAGTTAATGCTAACAAGTGCCAGCACTTGGGATTCCTTGTCTTGAACAGAAAACCCAAGAACTACAAAGTGCTTTCTAATTTAATCTGTATGGGACTGAAGTGTAGTGATATTAGGCAGGGCAAGAATGGAAGTGTTGTTAAGCTGAGCTGTTCCTCAGATCCTAACTGCCATGTCCTGTTCCTGCTGGGTACCCACAGCTGCAAGCAGCAGTGACGTTTTCCTGATGGTTCTAGAAACGCCTACATGGGATGGAATAAACCTTCTGGAATTGGAAAAAGGGGACCAGAGCACACTGAGGACTTGTTTTGTTTTTCAAAGTGGTGTGAAGTGTCTGCCAGGTGTATGTTTGTAAATTTTCCAGAATAAAGATTGAATTTCTTATGTTCGTTGTGGCTTTTCATATACCAAACACCTGAGCTTTGTATGCTGTCTCCCACACTCCTCATTAAGTGAGTGAAGGACTTCATGCATTTTTTTCTCTGTGTGTGTTCCTTAGGCAATGAGACACCAAGGAGAGCGATGTGGTCTGAAAAGCTTCATCATCCAAGCCCCGCTGACTGGCTGCTCTGCCACCCTGTGCTGACTTCAGGGCAGAACCGTGGCTCCTGGAAGCAGCTTTTCCTCACATGGGAACACACACAGGGGATGTTTATTCCTGGGTCCTCCCAAGGTGTGCTTCTTGTCAAGCACAGTGCAGCTGTGTGTCTGTGTGAGTACCTGGGGTGGCTGTGCAGGCAGGTGTGATGGAGCACAGCCAGCATCAGTGTGTTCAGAAGCAACATCAGGAACTTGCATGGGGCGCTGACAGCCGGCTGCACTCAGACACCAGAGCACTGGGTCACACAGACACAGTGCTTCTCAGGGCTGGAGGTAGCTGGTGCTTTTTATCCATCCTTACCTACAAGAAGTTCTTCCCCACGGAGCGCTCACAATGTGCGTGCAGCCTTGTGCTGCAATAAACACGAAATAATTCTACACAGACTGCATTTTGCTTGTAAGGGAGCTACATTCATCGCCAAGGTCCTCCTTAAGGCTGAGACCGAGAGGAAGGAAAGGAAGGGCTCTGTCTTTGGGTTCGGACCTCTCGTTAATGGCGCTGGCCGTGTGCGGTAGCAGCGGCCGCGGTGACAACATCGATCCCACCAGGTGTTGTTTGTTGGTGCTCTTATCGGCCCAGGCTGAGCTGTGAAAACAAATCCAAAGCATCTCCTCCTCCTCAAGGAAAAAAAAGAAGAAACAAAAACAAAAGCACAACCGCCGAGGAAAGGAAACAGCTGTGGCTGCGCGGGAGCGCTGTGGGTCGTGATTGAGGAGCAGCGCAAAGGAGCCCAGCTGCGCACGGGGCAGCGCCTCGGGACACGCGTTACCCGAGGGCGGCGCTCCCCGCAGCAGGTGCCGCCCGGGGGCGGCGGGGCCAGGCGGCTCTGCCCGCTGCGGAGCTCTGGGAGGGGAGGCGGCCGCGGGCGCACAATGGAGCAGGTTGAATGGGAGCGGGCTCCGGGCCGCCGCAACACCGGGGCTGGATCGCCGGGCGGCGCTGCGCTGCGGGGCCGGAGGGCGCTCCGCTCCGGGCCGGGGCGGCTCCGGGTTTGCCCTGAGCTCTGCGCCGGAGGGCGGGCCGGGCCGGGCGGCGGCGCCGTGCGTTTGAACCGAAGAGCGAGCGGGTCGGGGAGAACGAGCGGAGCCGAGCCGCGTGCGCGCGGACCTGAGCGAGCCGGGCGGGGCGGCCCCGCGAGGAGCGGCACGGCGGCCGGAGCTCCGCGCGCCGCCAGAGTCCAGGTGGGGTTTGCGAGGGAACTTTTGGTGGCCGGGAGCTGGGGGCAGCCGGCACGGCGGGGGGGGCCGCGCCGCGACCGGCCCCACCGGGAGCCGAGCCGGTGGGGTCACGGCGGGCGGCTGCGATGCGGCGGCTGCACGGGAGCGGGACGCGGGCTGAGCGGCACGGCGCGCTGAGGCTGAGAGCTGGGACAAACGGGCCGTCACGGGGCCGCGCTCGGGTCGTTCGCAGCCGCGCCGTCCCCGGAGTTTCGGGTCCGGCCGAGCGAAAAGTGCCGTCGGAGCGAAGCGTTCTTGAGCTCCTGGGGAAGAGCCGGCCGCGTCCGACGGAGCGCTGTGCTCTCGGGCCCTTTGTTTGAGGAGCGGCTGTGAGGTGCTTTTACGGGGCGCGTGGCCGCGAGCTGTGGGGGGAGCAGCGGCGCGGGGCAGAGCGCGGGCAGAGCCGGGCTCCGTGGGCACTGCGAGCCTCCAGTCCGCCAACGGGAACCTTTTGTCGTTAAACCGATGCGTTTCTTTTCTGTAACTTCAGAAAAGGAGGTGGTTTCGGGGAAAGCACGTCTCCGTCCACCGGTAAAACGATGCGATCGGTGAGAACGGTGGGACGGCTTGGTTGCTGCCGACCTGCAGGTGCCTCCCGGCCGCCCCGCAGCGCTGGGGTGGGCGCAGCTCCTCCCTGGCTCTGCTCGGAGGCTGCCTGGGGAATCGATTTAACGCCTCGGGCCTTTCACGCCGCCGTGACTTCGATCAGATGGCAAAGCCGGGGCCGCGGCCCCACGGGAGCGTTCTTTTTCCCCCTCGTTTTTATTGTTCTTAAGCAAGTCTGGAAGTTAAAAGGAAAACATGTTTGAATTTTGCAGTCTGTTGGCAGGGCTGCCACGGAGCTGCTGTGTTCCTGGGACAGCTTCCCTGCCTGTGCCTTCAGACGAGGTCGGGCTGCTGTATGCTGCTGCCATGTAGGGTGCACAGAAACTTTTTCTGAGTGTTTTGAATTCATTTGAACGCTCAGAGGCTGCCTGAGGAATCGATTTAATGGAGATGAAGGTGCTCTAGAAGGTTATGCTTCTGGGACATGATTTAGCCCAGGGTTGTTGGTTAGGGTAGTATGGTTAGGTCATGTTGGACTCAGTGACCTTTAAGGTCTTTTCCAACCTGAGTGATTCCGTGATTCTATGTTGGTGTTTTCCTCTTGGTGCGATAGGATGCAGAGCATGTTCTGTGCAATCATCCATTTATAAACAGGAGGGAGTTTACAATCGCTGTTTATGAGGGTAGATAATGATAGGACAAGGGGAATGGTTTTAAAGTGAGACAGGGAAGGTTTAGGTTGGATATGAGAAGGAAGTTTTTCACCCAGAGGGCGGTGAGGCACTGGCACAGGTTGCCCAAGGAGGCTGTGGGTGCCCCATCCCTGCAGGCATTCAAGGCCAGGCTGGATGTGGCTCTGGGCAGCCTGGGCTGCTGGTTGGTGACCCTGCACACAGCAGGGGGTTGGAGCTGGATGAGCAGTGTGCTCCTTTGCAACCCAGGCCATTCTGTGATCCTGCCCACTGCACTAGAAGAGCATGAAAGCTGCCAACCAGCAAAGCGCAGTTCCATGGGGCAGCAGGGCTGAGCAGTGCCCAGGGATTCATTCATTGCCTTGTGCCGCGAGGTCGGAGCTGTGCTTGGGGTAAATCTGTCCGTGCTTCCCAGGCTACGAGCAGGAGGTGCTTCCACTGCAGTGCTGCTGAGGTTGGCTGGTGTTGGTGCAGGCTGACCAAATTGCCAGGAAGTGTGTGTGTGCATTTTGTTTGTTTTAGAAAACTGCTCTTGCTCTCTGTACCGAGGGTGGTTTCCTTGTTCCAGTCTCTGCAGACACTGAGGACGTTACCATTACTCCAGAGCCTGCTCTCTGCTTTCCCAGGGCCCCAATACGTGTGGCCTTTTTTAGGTCATCTGGCTTTACAGGTGCTCCATTTTGTTGTGCCTGGTAGATGAGTGATGTGAATGCATCTGAGAGGTGGGGCACTATAGGGGATGGAAGGTGGGAGGAAATAGCCAGCACTGCAAATAGACACTAACAGAGCCTTCTCCAGAGGCAGTGGAGGGAGTGGAGAAGAGGTACTGAGAGCATTTTGGGGGCAGACACCTGTTGCAGTGCTAGGAAAAGCTGGGGACAAAACACTGAGGATGCAACATATGCTCTGCTGGGAGTATAAGGCCACGGGTGAGTATTGCAAAACCACTAAACCACTTCAGTTGTGTTTGGCCACGTGTGTTAACACAGCGTATGGCTCCTGGCAGGAGGCGTCTGTGTGAAGCTCTCCAACCTGAAATAACTGAAGGCTGCTTGCAAGAAGTTTCAGGTGGAGGCAATCTGCCGTGTGAAGGAGCACATGCACCACGACGGGCTTGATTTATTGGAATTGGCACAAAGTTCACATATCTATGCACATCAGGCACGGCCAAGCGTGTCTGTGCGTGGGGTGTAGGATGTGCTGACTGTCTGCTCGGGTTTGAAGCAGGCATTGCTGGGCTCATGGGAGCGTGCTTCCTGTGTTCTGTGCTCAGTCTTAGTTCCAGCAGTGGCAGCAAATTTGGTAGTGCACCTGTAGGCAAAAATGGAAGAATATTTGTGGTCCCCAGCGTTAGCACTTGATGACAAATGCAGAAGCTCTTGTGGAGGTAGCAGCCTTCATCCATACTCCTCTTGGGTCTGCATCCAGTTGGTGAGAAGCTCAGTATCGTGCAAGATGCAAATAATCTGCCCGTGGCCGCCTGTGTTAGCATGAGCCTTTCCCAGGCATCTTATTTTTATCTTTGTATTTTATCAAATAGTTTGAAATATTCTGTGTGCTGCCTGAGCTTCACAGATTGTAGTAATAGCTGGAGCAGCAGTTGAAATGGAATATTTCCCATTTCAAATAGCAGTTTATCATGTTACCAGTGGGTCTGAAAATGACTTGTCTGAATTACCATCCTTGCTCTGAGAGATGGCTGCTCTTGGCACGACCTGTTGTGCTGGCTGCTGCCTGCCTTCTGAGAAGGAGTCCTCAAAGGACTTCCCCTAGGGGGGGGAAGAAGTGTGTACCTCCAATTCCAGAAACATTATTTTGCCAAGTCATCCTAGGTAAGAACGAAGTAAGCTTACACTTTGTGTTTGTTGTCATGACTTCACGTCTTCAGAGCATCATTTTGCTGCTGGGATGGGATGTGAAATCTGTGCCAGATGTTTTTGCAAGCTCTTAAATATGTGTCATTAACAGCTGGTTGGTGAATTTCTTGCTGTGTTGAGTCTCTGCAAACATCTCCTCCTTTCTCTTGTCTTTCGTATTTCACGCTTCAGGCAGAGGTGCACACGGTGAGGTGATGCTCACCAGATCTGTGGCTGAAAGCAGAGCTCAGTGGGCTGACAGACCAGTGGTTTGCCCTGCTCACAGCAGCAGTGGGAATTATTCTGGCCTTCAAGTGTTGCTGAAGTTCCTTGGGAATGTGTCTCCGTGTTTCACGTGGGTCAGTTTGTACCTGAAGAACTGGGCCATGAGCTGAGAACTTGTGCCATGAGGTTGGAGCTGTGCCTGGGGTAAATCTGTCCGTGCTTCCCAGGCCTCGAGCAGGAGGTGCTTCCACTGCAGTGCTGCTGAGGTTGGCTGGTGTTGGTGCAGGCTGACCAAAGGTGTCCCTGGGAGCCTGTCAAACGCTGCCTGGGGTCAATCGTTTCTCCATGCTTTGGGGCTGTTGGTATTGCTGTGGGTAGCTCTTAAAGCTGCCAGTCCTGGACGTGCTGTGTGTTCCTCTGCCTGTTCCCAAGGGAGTGCTGGTTTTATCCCATAGAAGAAACTGGAGAATGTGTAGAAGAATCTTCAGGATGTGCTGCAGGTGGTGCCTTGAAACAGCCAGCGGGGCAAAGCGAGTTCTGTCTGTGGAGATGAAAACCTCCAGCGTAGACTCTTGGGTTCAGCATTCACGAGTTGAAAACGTACGTGCAGCAGAACCAACAGATGACTTGGATTAGTGGCACTGGGTGCACGGAAAGCGGCTGGAAGGTGTGCTGGAAAGCCACGTAAGGCAAACAGCCCTACACACTCACTTGTGTTTATCAGCTCCACGCCTGGTGGGATGAGTGATGCTGAGCGCAGGGTGTGCGAGGTAGGTGTCCTTTGGAGCAGCGCCTGCTGAGCGATGGAGGCTGCACTCCTGGAAACAATTCCTCCACAGGAAGAAAACAAATTCCTCTTAGGCTGCTTGAGGAATGGGGAGCAAATGCTAATTCCCTTTCAGGGTCTGTTGCCATGGGGAGTCGGTTCAAATCCTTTCTAATGCTGTCCTCAGCAGCAAGTTGTGCTGACACATGCTTTTCATGACTCCCCAGAAAGAGCAGAGGAATGACTTGAAACAAAAGCTCCACCAGAATTAATGGCCAAGGAAGGTTAAGGCTTGCTGTTTGCTAACGTGGGCTGGGCAGATAAGGAAGCTTTGTTGCATGGCCCAGTGCAGCCTGCTTGGCCTCCAGCCGCCATCCCATGTGCTTGCAGGGCAGGAAAGGTGCAGGGCAACTTGTGTTGCACAGGGAGATCTCTTCTTTCTCTAGGAACTTTTCTAGGGAAATGCAATAAGAAAAAGATCAGATGTTGGATGATTGTTCCTTCTATTACCGGTTATCTTTTTTTCATGCTCAATGCTCCCTGTTGAAAAGGGATTGTCACTTTGGGGATATTTTTTGATCTTTCTGTTTCTACTACAAGATACTTTACATTCTAGGAAGCGCTCGCATATAGCGTGGGTAGTTGACAAAGAAAAAAGGCTTAGTAAGGTAGGTGAGGATGCTTTTCTTTATGATAGCAATGCCAATTTTGTAGGCAAAATTGCTTTTTTGCAACAGCATTGAATTTTTAACCTGACATTGCTAGCATGTCAGGTTAAAAAGGGCTGACAACAGCAGGACTAGGGGAAATGGATCCAAGTTGAAGGAGGGAAGATTTAGGTTGGATGTTAGGGGGAAGTTCTTCACAAGGACAGCAGTTAGGCCCTGGAACGGGCTGCCCAGGGAGGTTGTGGATGCCCCGTCCTTGGACGTGTTCAAGGCCAGGTTGGACGGGGTCCTGGGCAACCTGATCTGAATGTGGATGTTTGGTGGCCCTGCTGGGCAGGGGGGTTGGGAACTACATGATCCTTGAGGTCCCTTCCAACCCAGGTGATTCTGTGATTCTGTGATTCTGCCTTGCCTAGTTCTGCACTTGCCCTGGATTTGTGACAGTAGAAGCATTTCTGCCAGCTGTTTTGAATAAGTGAAGATATTTGATGCTGATTACAGTGGAGATTTGCACTGATGATGTGTGGAACCCTTAAAGCCTATATTTGTATGGCAGTTAAGTCTCAATCTGCCTGAACTCAGACCAGCTTAAATGCTTAGCAATGTTTGGGTGACTGTTAGCATCTCTGAAATGAAAAGCCCAGGACTGCAGACGTGTTGTACCCTATGAAATTTCTGTAATCCTTTTGGATTCCATTTTCTGGCCCGGTGATGGCTCAGCTTTTCATCTGATGGCTACTTTGTTTTGGAGGTACCAATTAAGTATGGTCTATGCTCCACAGCTTCTCGTTTATGTATGCAAGTTTGAAGGTTATTCCACCAGAAGAGCTGATCTTCCTTTACAGAGTGAAAAAACATGGACTAGGAGCAGTAGCTAATTCTCTCCTGGCCCAGTATAAAACCTTCCATGCAGGGAGTTGCACCAGATGACCTTCAAAGCTCCCTTCCAACTCAAACCATTCTGTGGTTCTATGATGTGTGTTGATGGCTGATGATAAGCAGATGTGCGAGGAAACCTGCAGGCTATTGGAACCTGTTCCAGAGAAAGAAAGATGGCAAAAGCATGAGGTTTCCTGGTCACAATGCAAACTAAACTGCAGATGATTTCACTGTCTCTTCGGTATCTGCTGTTTCAGAATATGAATGTAGCAGAGGGTTGAGTTCTTGGACTAGTGCAGGTAAGCTGGGATAAGTGTCCTGTCTTCTCTGCTTGCTGCTGCAGTGAGTGTGCCACGCTGCTGAGAAAAGACTTCAGAAATGCTATGGGGCTTGGTCTGAAATGTGGTTTTTTTGTTCTGTTCCCAAGACATTCAAGGAAATCTTTTGCTTACTCTCAAGCTTAAGGTAAATCAGTTATACTCTCTGTTGTAGCAGTCCTGTGAAGCTAACTTGGCTTTTGAGTGCCTTGGTGTTCGATGAGGAAAGTTCAAGGCGTTACTTCCACTCTGATGAGGTGCTTCTTTCTCCAGTTTGCAATACCTGGAAGCTACCTGGGTGTGTGTGATGCAGAGGTTGGGGCGCGATCCCAGCTGCCAGATTGAGAGCCAGCGTGTGCCTGGGAGGTGCGTTGCTGCTGCTGGCTGCAGGCAGGGGGCCTGGTGCCCTCCTGCACAGATGGCAGAGCTGCCTGCTTTATGGCCACACCTGGAGCTCATGCGGAATTATTGCCAGTAACGTGCTGACTGTGTCCTTTGTTTGGTTCTACGTTTCTCTTCCCATTTCCAACCTGCTTTTTTCCTTGTCTCTGTTATGCTTTTACTTTATGTCTCTTGCAGCTTCCAGAATCCCTGAGCTGTTTCATTCTAAAATTTATCACCAATTTGAAACGATTGCAGGTATCCAAAATCTGGAGCTTCTATGCACTGTTTTCTGGACTTCCCTTTTCTGTTGCAGATGGAATTGCCAGTCACAATGGGTTTCTATCTTTCAGCTATGCAGAACTTCTTACAGAACATTTATTTTTCCCATACACCACTCTGTGCTAGAGAAAGGAATCCCTTCTTTAAGAATGATTCTTTCAAAGCCAGTTGGCTGGGCAAGCAGTGCAGTGTGAGCTTGGAAGCTGGTGCAGAGGCTTTGGCACTGGGAGGTAATGGTGGGCTGCACCATTTGCTGTTGGCAGGAACCATTTGTGCTATCAGACTGACTTAATGTTATCTGTCGGAGTGCTTCAGGAGCAGGAAGGGGAGAGGGCAGGTGAGACAAGAGGGGATTTGCAGTCTCTCCGCCCTGTATATTGCTGGCTTAACTACCAACTCATCTGTCTGAGTGTTCTCCTGAGAGCTGTGCACAGGACAAGGGAGTTCCTGGGTGCTAAATGGACGTGTATGGGAGCAGGGCTTAGGGGAGTGCTGCCTTGTTGGTGTCCAGCCTGTGCAGCAAGAAGCGTCTGTTACAGCCGCACAGAGCAGCCTCTGCCTTCAGAAGTATCTTGTATGTTTGGCTCCATGAATTCTAGAATCCATTTCATTTCCCAAATATTTTCAGGGAACTTTCCTTGGAAGGAGTTTCCCCCTCTGTCATGATGATAAAAAGCCTCATTTGTTCATCTCATCCCCGTGTATCCACGCGGACTTGTTTCTTTGTGCGCATGTATGCATGCATGAACGTAACTTGAACTTATTTTTTTCTATCAAACTTGAGCAAAATCAGTTTACTTTCAGTAATAACTGCCTTCATCCCAGCTTGCAAATTCTGCCTTCATCCCCAGCTGCTGGGAGAACCTTTGTTGCAGGCAGCAGCACGGTGCGGGGACCCGCGGTGCTCCGAACAAGGGCGTATTGTGTGAGCTGGGAGGGAGGGAGGGGGCTGCAGGTTCCCTTCAGAGCTGTGATATGAGTTCTGTGCAGGAGCTGAGCGAGAGATGCCATCTCTCTTTGTGTGTGTAAATTCCAACGGATAAATACTTGAGACGATTTCTGTAGTTAAAACAGCGATGCTTGTCTTTCCAGTACCTGAAGGAAAAAAACCTGGCAGTAGGCTGGGTAGCAGTGATAACGTGATTTCTGTGCTGCTAAGCTAACTGTCAGCTTGTGCCTTACTAATTAACACCAGAAGAGTGACCGTAGTTGTGGCAAGCTATAATGAAAGCTCATGGCCTGGTAGGGCAAAAGTCCAGCAAATGCACAGTGTGAGATGTAATGGCGATAGCTGCATAGTGGGCCCAGTTGCAGTCAAATTGGCCTTTAGTTTGAGCAGTACGTGGTGCGTAACCAGAACACAGCCTGTAATGGAGGTGGGAGGGAGGTGGGGTGGTGACTGAGCAGACCGGGGCTGCTGTGGCTGCTGCGCCGAGCCTTGGCCAGGCAGCAGAGGGGGGTCCAGTGAAAGGATGCGGCTGAGCAGCAGGCCGAGGAATCTGCAGTTAATTTAAATACAAAAGAAATATGAAATGCTGATTTGTTGTCACCACAACTGCGCAGGGAGCCCCGCTGGGCGGGATGGGGCGCTGCGAGGCCCAGCTTACGGAACAAAAGGCTGAACTGTCTGAATGGAAGTTGGGTGAACTGACTCGAGCACAGCCTCGTCTTGATTTATAGCCACCGGCTTATTAATGAGTTAACTTGCACTGTTTTGGGCTCTGAACGTAACTGTTCTGGTTGTTGCCATTGTCCTGGGTTGTGGCAGTGGAACAGCAGAGCAGCTCATGGTGGAAGCTTTCCCAGGGACTGCATTGGGATTGTTTCCCACCTCATCGTCAGCGCTTGGCTTCAGCTGCTCGTGCTCCCTCGCTTGGCTGGGCTTTGCTTCACGTTGGCATGGTGTGCTGGTCCTTTTTAACTGCCTGATACGTGCTGCTGCCTGGGTCTGGGGAATGCTGGCCGTCAGGCGGCTCGGCCCAACAGAGCTTTGGGCTCGTGGCCAGAAACATTGCCATCTGCTCCAGGTATCAGTGTGGGAGCATCTGCAGCCAATTACCACGTGTGCTCCCGTGTCCTTGTCTCTGCTGGAGGCACAACCATCCTGTGGCAGTGCTGGGAGCCTTGGCCTTGTAGGTCCATGCTGGCCCCAGCCCACCGTGTGAAGGGGTTGGTGCTTGGCTGCCCCGTTCTCCTGGGGTTCTCAGTTTGGTTCTTGTGATGGGGGTAAAACAGAGACATGGGAAGTAAGGAGATGGTAAAGCAGACTGATGGTTCATCAGTTGCATCGGTACAATGTGGAACTGAAGAGTGGGACTCTGAGCTGAGGGCATCTCTTTGCTGCGTAAAGCTGGGGTCCTGGGGCTGAAGGACGTAAATTTCACGCAGCTGACATGACCAGATCTCCTCCAAAGTGCTGCCCATGTGCTGTCCCTGGTAGAGTCCCTAGGGGTGAACATCCCCCAGTATTTTGATTCCTTTGATTCACTTTATTTATGTGGAAATTTAGCTGGGGACAATCCGTATTGTTTTATGGTGTTGTTGGATGTGCTAGCAGCTGTTAAATGTGGGACAGCATCATGAAATAGATCCAATTGATCCTTTCTCGTGGCCATGTGGTGGCCTGCAGGGCTGTGGGGCTGGATGAAGCAGCAGGCTGCTCTGGGGCTCGGCAGCACTGTGCTGGTGGGAGCTGCCCCATGGGGTCCAGCTGGTTGCATGGGCTCGGTCTGCGCCTGTCCTTTGCTGTGTGTCCCTGGAGGTGGGCTGGTGTGTTTGGAGAGTGAAGGGCTGCATTTGCTGTAGTATTTTGAGAGTAAGAATGATTTGGCATGAAGGACTTTGATAAGTTCTCCTTTACAGTTCTAGCAGTTACGTGTTTCTTGTAAATAAACAGTTACTCATTCTGTTTCTGTTTGTAGGGTGGCTGTCTTTGGTGAGCAGAAGGTCTCAGGATGAGTTACTGGAGCCTGGATAAGAAAAACTGCCTGCAGTACTGCAGACACTTCTTGGCGGACAACGGCGTGTTTCATGGTAAGCAGCAAGCTGTATTGTTGCCTTCTTTTTCCTGCTGAATCCAATGCACAGCTCAGCTGTGGGGTGCAGGGCAGCTGCAGCTCAGCCTGGTGGCTGAGGTTCTGCTGGACAGCACTGCACAAGAGATGTGTGCGTGTCCCAGCAATTAGCATGTTGCTCCTGACTCCTACAAGAGGTGTTGATAGAGCTGAAAGGGATGAGGGAGGCTTTTAAGGATTAGCTGGTTGTCAGCGTGCCTTTTGGAGCCTTCTGATCCTGCAGCTTCTGGCACAGGGCAGTGGTGATGAGTGCCTTTACAGGACAGGAGGGATGAGTGCCTTTACTAGCTTCTTGCATGGAGTGATCTTGACTGTACTGCTGGGAAATTAGGAAAGAAAATCTCATGTGAACTCAGTGTGGGAAAAGCACAATCTGTTAGCAGGGTTGGTACTGTTATTGAACCCCTTGTGGCTTGCTGACAGTTGTGCACACGTCCACCTCTAATGTCTATTCATTCTAATTTAAGTAGCTTTTACGACTTCTAAAAAAATTGCTGTTATATTTTCATATTCTGACATTGGGATCATGGCTGTTCAGGGAGCAAGTGTGCAGAACTGTTGATTAGCTTATTTTTCTACATTTATGCGTGCTAATATTCTGTAATGGTTAAATGAAAGACGAGACTTGTTTAGCAAATAGCTGATTTTGTCTCAGTAGTTCTGAAAGTAGCTTTTCATACTTAGACCAATTATCTTTTCCTCTTCTCTCAGAAATACAAACCTTTTGTTTAAATTGCATTTCCATAACTGTAATTAATTCTCTCCCGGTTTCTAATTTTGTTGTCTGGCCTCTCCACCTCTTTCTTTTCAGACTTAGATGTCAATAGGGACTTGACCGTTGCTGGTTGGGTGTCATGTCCATTCAGTCTTGCTCTTTCAGAGCAATGGACTAATTCAGTTGTATTGGGCTTGCCTGGGAGGTTCACATTTCAGTGCTGTGATTATTATCTGTAACTGAATCTTTAATCTGGAAGAACTGTTGCACCTCATTTGTGAAGCAGATATAGAAATATCCCACTGCATTTGCTGATGTTCTAAAAAGCTTGGGGTTATCTTTCTCCATGGGTACTTCAGAACTGGAAGCATCCACAGAGACACCCAGTACAAAAGCTTGCTGCTCATCCTTGTTCATTGTCGTGTTTCCTTCCTATCCATCAGGGACTTGCATTGCTTTGAGAATGTAAACATATGGTGTTAAAGTTTTCCACTTTCAACTGAGGTGTTTCAGCACAGGAAACTTGTGGGCTGCCCAAATGAGAATGCCAAAGCTCTATGTTTATTAGAAGTAGTTTAAACATCTTTTTCTGGGAACGAACAAATAACAAAACGAATAAAAAAAGCCAACCAAATCCCAAAGCAACCACAGAAATCCTTAAGCAGAAACACCCGAATGAGACCACAGCCCTGCATGCAGAACCTGTTAGAGCACACAGTGCCTCTAAAGGAAGGTCAGAATACCTCCCTTGGAGGATGAGCAGTGCGCTGTCAGCTCCAGTGTTGGAGGCCTCTGGCTGCAAGCGTAGGTGGGGTGGGGGATGAAGTGTGAGATGTGGCAAATAGCAGGACAGCACCTTGCTCATCATGCATTAGCTGGAGACCCGCAGACAAATGCACCTTTGAATCTTGTGGAGTAAGAAAGTGTAAGTGCTCTTAGATAAAGGCATTAGTGCTGCGAGGCCCGGCCTAATGCAGTTCTGATCAGCAGCCTTTAAGCAAGTGTAGCTCAGGATCATGCAGAGAAAATGTCTGCGGATGTGCCCAGGAGAATCACCTGTAAGAGGAGTCAAGATCCATCTGGTTTGTGTGGCTGGCTATAAATACACTTGCGAGGAGTAAATGTGGGAAAGAAGCAGCTTATTGGAACTGATAGGAAAAGTTCAAATTGAAACATTGAGGTCTGTATTGAATATTGTCCGTAGGCATATAAATAGATGCAGGGAAAAACTAACTGCCTTTGAGGTGGAGGCCAGGAAGTTTTGATCATGGTTAGAAGTGCCCTGACAGTGCCCCTGCTCTGAAGCTGCAAATATGATTAGTAGCAGCAAGCAATATTCTGGCAAATGTAAATATGGACTGGAGGAGTGTTGAAGTGGTGCCAGGTCAGTTCCTGTGTAGCAAACAGCAAATGCTAACAGAACTGCTTCTATTCCCTTCTGGGAAATGCTGCTGTACTCACTTTGTGCTGCTCACTGCTGTATTGTAATTGTGCTTTGAGGCTCATGCATGTTTTTAGGCAAGGAGAAACTATTGATACATGGCTGCGTGCCTTACCACAGGGCTTCAGCAGTTTGTGTGTGAGTAATGACTGAACATCCGTATACGTAATGCTCCAGCACTATTTGCATCTAAATTGCCTTAGGATTTCTCATCATTTCCAAATTTTGCTGGGGGAAGCTGCTAATCACTTTGTTTGTGGGATGCTAAAATTCTTGTCTGTTTGTCTGAAATTTTTTGTTACAGAAATGGAGGTTGCTGCTGTGCCTTGTACTCTAGGGAGTCTCATCTGCCTAGAAGCAAAAATGTCAGTTTTCTTCAGTAACAGCACTGTGTGCACACAGAATAACAAACTGAAGACAGATCTGGGTTTAAGCTATTTTAGCAGTTTCTGTAGAATAGAGAAAGAGAGGCTCTTACAATGTTGAAAGTAGCCTAAAGGACTTGGTGAACCTACTTTCTTTTCCTTTCCTGTTGCAGAGAGTGCCAAAATACAAAGTACATCATGCCTCCAGGCTCAGAAGATTTTTTTTTTTCTAGGGGTTTTTATGCTGTAAAGCCATATTTGATTTGTTTGCTGGCAATAACAATATAGGACTGGCTGTGTTGTCAGACCAAACTTCCATCTATTTTGCTAGCAACTATTTGGGACTAAAAGTATAAAGGAGGACAGGGATATACCAAAGTCTTCCATGCACTCCCAGCACCTGCCAGTCAGTGATGTGCTTCCCCAGAAGCTGCATCTGAATCTTTGCATTTATTGCTTTTTCATCTCATAACTTCTGAAGGTTTTTTTTTAAATTCATTTCTTTTGGCCACCCTTGGGAACGAACTCCAAGGCTTATTTTTATCGTTGTAAACCTGCTTGAAGGAAACAGTCATTGCCACGTTCAGGCTGTAAGCACTGGAGAAGGCTTGGTTGCTCAGTCTCTTCCCCTGGATTGGAGCTAGGGTCAGGCTCGTCATGTCAATACACTCTTGCATCATGTTTGGTGTAACTGTAGCTTTGGATGCCTGCCTTCCAACACCTCACTGAGGAAATGAGTGGAGAGTGTTGTGATGATAATGCTTTCTTCTACTCCAGGAAAGAGAAAACAGCAAAAAAGGCAACTTTGGTCTAGAGCTCGAAATTGAGGTCCTGATCTGCTGAAGTTTGGCTTTGGTATAGCAGTACTCCCATTTCCTTCCAGTGACTCTTCAAAATGAGCTACTCAAACACCCAGTTCATCTGGCACTAAACAAAGAGTACTTTCCAGCAGTAATTTTGCCATCTGCTGCTGTGCAGCGAGTGGCCCCATCCCAGTGACCTTGCAAAGGAGATTATTGAACGTTGACCTGGATTCTTGTGCACTCTTAGTCTGTTGTTTCAGGAATGTCCAGCTCATCTTTCACAGGGTTCTTGCAGATCACCTACTTGTAAGCATCTGAAGTTGAGCTGGGGAGAATGCCTTGGGACAAGGAAACAGCTTATCTTGAGAGGGCATCTCAGTGATTTCCCAAATGTCAGGCATGCAGTTGTGCACTGCTTTTATTAGATAAACTCCTACTGCTGTTGCACAACCAGTTTTGGGCAGCATCTCGAGAGATTTCTTGTGGCAGGTGTTATGGCAGTGCTTTTCCTTTTGTTTCAGTCTGAAGAGCTGAGCTTTTATGTGGGTTCTCAAAGGATTTTTTTCCTTTAGTTATCTTTAACTTTCGTGTTCAATGAGTGAGAAGATAAAATACATGATGCTCTGTATAGTAATATGGTCTGTTTTGTTTATTAGAGCTCAAATTTGGGGGGAATGATTTGGGTGAGTGGTATTGCAGAATTGTATGTATATGCTTAGCTTTGTGTTTGCTGATGGGCAATGCTTCATGATTAGTTCTGCAGAAACCTCATTCAAGCCCTGTGCTTGAGGCTACAGTGCTAAAGATACCAGATGTAGACTGCAGGATTTTGCTCTTACATCTTTATAGTCATCTTCAATTTAAGTTTTGTAATGATGCTTGGTAAAGAAGTTATAGTGTGATAATTCATACTTTATATTCTGATTATATAGTAAAATATGCACAATTCCTTCTTTAAAACAGACACACGTCACTGAAAATGTATAGAAAAGAGTGTTAAAAATTAGATTTAAAAATAAGTTAGAAAAGAATTAAAAAATCCTAGAACACAAAGAAACTGCCTCTCCGTGCTCCGCTTCATGCGCAGCTGCAGTGAGAGGAGCAGCTCCATTTGTCTCAGGGGCTCTGGTTCAGACAGCTAACCTTTCACGTTGTGTTTTTCCCTTCCTATCTAGCTCAGCTTTCCAAAGAACGGTGTCTTCATTAATGACAAAGGAGGGAAGTTGATAAAAGCTTCAGTCTGATAAAAATGATGAGTTGTTTGCGCAGATAACGTGAAATTTTATTTAACCCTAACTGAATTTTTGGAAGATTGTATTACGGTTTAGGTTTAAGATTAAATTTGTGTGATGAATACGAAGCTGTGTTTGTCTTCTTAATTCATTATCTACTTGCTGGAAGAGGTAGAAGTTCTCTAATCAGCCTTTCTTTCTCCGTAGCAGAATTAGCCTTTTTACCACTTTCCAGCAATTTTGACATTGAAAAAGGAAAAACTGATGAGCCAGAAAATTAATATTCTTCTGATGCTGTAGCTTCTAAACCTAATTGTTGAAACATTCTCATTTATTGGAAAATTAATATTTGGCAGTAGAACTTGGACCGCGAGCTGTAGTCCAAGGGAGGTTGAGCCCTGTG